ACATGTTTTTGTTTACTTTGATGACCGAAACACGTTTTTGTTTACTTTGATGACCGAAACATGTTTTTGTTTACTTTGATGACCGATACATGTTTTTGTTTACTTTGATCACTGAAACACGTTTTTGTTTACTTTGATCACTGAAATGTGTTTTTGTTTACTTCAATGACTGAAACATGTTTTTGTTTACGTTGATGACTGATACATGTTTTTGTTTACTTTGATCACTGAAACACGTTTTTGTTTACTTTGATGACCGAAACATGTTTTTGTTTACTTTGATGACCGATACATGTTTTTGTTTACTTTGATCACTGAAACATGTTTTTGTTTACATTGATCACTGAAATGTGTTTTTGTTTATTTATTTACATGGCCTGTTTGTTTCCTGTCCATCTGCATGTCTCCAGATGTGCAGCCCTCACACTGTGTGTTGGTGATGAGCCTCAGCTTCTCCAACATCTGGTATCAGTGAAACTGCGTTAAACTTTTAGTTTTCTAGTCACTTGGCTGAGGTGGCCATCTTGAATCAGGTTCCTTCAGGTGCGGATGGATCCAGAAATGATTTCTTGAAAGTCTTATTAAAATGTGTCCAGTGGTTCATGAGATACTTTGTTAACACTCAAACGCTTGTAAAAACCTTTGTCTCGTAATGGTCGGAGGTGATCATTCCTGGTCCTGTCCTCTCATAAAGCTTCAGGTTCTCTACAGTCTCCAGTTTGTCAGCAGATGGCTGCGTGTCACGATTTATTGGGCTCAACTTGACCTCCCTAAACCTCCTGCTGCCTTTGGGTCAAAATGTACTGAGGCCTCACAGGTCATTTTGACCCATGGGCAGCAGGAGGTTTAAAATATGAGGATTCTTTACCTCCACGGTGTCTGGATCAGCTGTAGAAACAGGACATGTCTGTCCCTAAAGAGGACACGTCTTTAGCAGAATTTAAATAATCATCTGCTGCCAGAAGGCGAGCCATAATGTGTTGTCTGTATGTGTTAGCAAAATATTTGAACCACTAAATGTATTTCAGTGAAACTGAGAAGAGTCATTGAACAAAGGTCTTCCACTGATTCGTGTCTGGAGTCGAGCTGATTCAAGATGGCCACCACAACAGAAACAGGAAGGAGTTTTAAGTCGGTCAGTTTGACAGAAACTCCTTTAGTTATGAAACGTTTCCTCCAGGGTCCGTTGGAGCAGAGCTACGGAAGCCTGGATGTCCAAACAGGAAGTCAGCAGAAATGTAAACCTCACTTTTGTTTAGAGTCGAGCTGTTTCTGCTCCTTGTTGTGTTTTATCAACAGGACAGTCTCTTATTAAGACGCCTGACCGACTGTGAAGTTGTGATTTGATGAAGAAGTCAAACTCACGGTGAAGATGGTCTCCAGCTCCTCCTTGTCGATCTTTCCGTTCCCATCCTGGTCGAACAGCTTGAAGTACCACTTGAGCTTCTGGTTGATCTCTCCTTTGAGCAGCAGGCTGACGGCGGCGATGTACTCCACGAAGTCGATGTAGCCATCCTGCAGACACAGAGCAGGGCACAGAAACCCAGGAGGCCCATACCGGTCAGGATTGGACCACATCCTTCAGCTTCAGTCAGACTATTTTACATGTTTAGATTAGGAAACTGAGAATAACAAGTATTAAATTAAATTAAAGTTATAAAGTGTTAAATGTGAATAAAAATAATTAAAAACAGGAAAGAAAGTAATAAAAGCTGAAATAAAGCCCCTATGGTGTTTAATCCAGCACTGTGGGGTCCGGACCCCAACTGATCCATAGAGCAGCTGCTGGTTCTGGTTCAGCTGACCCACTCCAGAACCACCCAGGTTCATTTCACACCAGAAACCGTTGAAGTTCATGTCCAGATATGATGATGAGGGTTCTGCTGACACATTAGGAATAAATAAGACCTGGTGTAGATATAGTGATATAGTTTATTTCCTCACTGGCTCTGCAACGAGGCGCACGCGTTTCTTCCCTCTCCCTGTTCTCCTCCTGCTTGTGTTTCTCTCTCTCTGTGTATCGGAGCAGCTCCTATTTTTACACATCTTCCGAAATGAAAACTACTGTTTTGGATCTGACCAACTGGACTTTCAATGCAAATGACAAAATCTTTTCATCAAAGCGACAGGGTCCTGGAGTACCCTCATCTGCTCAGACGACACACATGCAGCTGGATATATCTCTGGGTTAAGTGGAATGTGATGTATCTACCTCTGTTGTCTATTGAGGACGCCAAAGTTACATAAAATTGGAGTTATGATAAATCAGCTGATTTACGAGCTAAACCATAAGATGGAAGTGATTTGAATCACAGACCACCTGCGGCTTTGGGACTCGTCAACATGAAAACGACCTTGAAGAGGCTCGTAAGCACAGACCAGTAGAATGCACCTTAATCTGGCCATTTCAGACCTTGGAAGTACCAGAACAGACTCAAGGTTGACAAGGAAAAATAGTCTGCCTGAATAAATCAACAATTGTGGTTTATCTGAATCTGACTCCCTGGTTGGCCTCGAAACAGGCCGGCATCAGTTTCTCCTGGGAAATGTGTAAACTAAAGAAAAGCTTCATCTACCCCCCCCCGCCCCTTTCTGTGAATGCTGATCAGAACTGTGCCGGCTGACCAGCATCTTATCAGGACAATGGGCTGTTAGTGCTTCATGGACCGCCTCGTCGTAAATGCATATGTAACGTGTTCATTACGTGCTGCTGGCAGAGTTTTTAATGTTTTAAATCGTGTCCTGTCAGGACAAGGTGTGAAGAGATCATTTTTGTAATGCCACCACCCTCTCCTCATGGCTTTGTCCCTTTTTCTATCTAAAAATTGTGTTCTGAAAAGGATAAGAAGGCCGCGCTTATATCAGCAGCTACGTGCACTCCGCCCATCGTTCAGACGACTGTTTGGACATATTCTCGTTGTGTCTCGGTGCAATGATAATATGAAAATATGATTCTATTCTGATTCTGATGTAGCCCTTTTCAGTTTTTATTTTCCCACAATGCATTGTGTTTGTCAGATCATACGAATTCTGACGTCAGGAGGACTTTCAGAGTTTTGTAGCTTCTAACAGGTGAAAACATGCTCAGGTGAGGTCAAAGGTCACCTGTTGCTGTGGATCAGTGAACCCCTCAGGACTGCTGTAGAACTCTGGCAACAGTTGCTGTATGCTCAGACTGCTGTAGAACTCTGGCAACAGTTGCTGTATGCTCAGACTGGTGTAGAACTCTGGCAACAGGTGGTGTATGTATGCTCAAACTG